CCCGGGGCCGGGCCTGCCGGGCCCCCCCGCCCCCGGCAGCCCCGACTGCGGGGAGCACCAGGGGGAGCTGGGGGGAGCCCCCCGCCCCGGGGAGGAGGCCGCAGCCCCGGGACCTGGCTGCGAGCCTCTGCCCCTCGCTTCCACAGAGGAGGCAGCAGGGTTTTCAGGCGACTTTGGGAGCAGCGTGGGCTGGGAGGATGAAGAGGAGAAGGAGCCGGAGGAGGCGGGCGAGGAAGGCGAGGAAGAGGAGGGTGAAGCGGGCGAGGGCGATGATGGCGGCTACATCTGGTAGAGGAGCAGGAGAGCCCAGTGGGTGGCACGGCCGGGCGGCAGCCCCCCAGCTGGGGGTCGCCGTGACCCCCCCCGCTGCCAGCGTGGCGTGGGGTGGGTGCGTACCCCCAGCCCTGCACGGGACGGGGCGTCGGGGTGCTCGCCCAGGGAGGGGGCGAGCAGGGCAGGGGGCCACGCTTGTGCGAATTCGAGCTTTTTTTTTTTTTTTTTTTTGGGTAGAGCCTTGTAGGCCTAGTGTGCTGCTGCGTGGTCTTCAACTGGGCAAACAGCACTAATAAAAGTGGGAAAAAAGGAAAAAAAACATAAAAACCCCATAGATAAGCTGCCCCTGCTCCCTGCATCCCCCCCATGCTGTGCTTGCGTGGCCCCCTTGGCCCCTGGCGTTGTGTAGCGGCTGTGAAATAAATACCCCGTGCTGTGTCAAAACGCTTGCCCGTCCATTCCTCCCTACTGACACCCCCTCCATGCCCCACCTGCACCCGCCGGGCCTGCACGGGGTGCTGGGGGGGGTGTCCCCCCGTGGGGGCATTCCCTTAGCAGAGGACAGGGATGCTGGGGGTGCCCTGCTGCTGCCGCCCCCCCCCCGGTTTGGTGCCCCTGGGTTTTGGTCCCCCACACTCAAGTGACATGGGGCTGGAGCTGACGCATCCCCCCACTGCCATACTCCCAGCTCCAAGTATGCCCCACCGCCCCGCCACCCACCCACCACCCACTCGCCACCCCAGCCGCTTGGCACCACAGGACACCACGGCCTCAACTCACAGTATTTAAGGCTCCAGGGAGAAAACAAAATAAAACAAAGCACCTCCCCAAACCCCCAGTTTAGGGACACCAGCAACTGGTAAAGGCACCACGCCACGTCCCTGTCCCCCGTCCCCAGGACGCCCATCCTCTGCCAGCCTGGCGGGGTCCAGGTGCTCGGCCGTGGCACTGCTGGGGCCAAAGGGGGGATGTGGCAGCTCCGTCCCTGGCACAAACCCCCTGGGAGGGGGGTCAGAGCTTGCTGGGGGGTCCTGGCTGCCGCTGGAGCCGCCATGCTGCCCGCACCCCCTCGTCTGCCTGATTGAGCGCAGCAAAGGCGCTGGGGTTGGCAGTGTGGTGGTAGCGAGCAACAGGGGACTGCAGGACGGTGATGGGGATACAGAAGTTGAGGTGGGGGTAGGTGGTCCCTGCGCCGGTGTCCCGGGTGTTGCTGGCCACAATCCCTGGTGGGGAGAGGCGCATCACCCATGTCACCGGGGCCGGCCAGGGGACACCCATGAGACCCCCCCCAACCTGTGGGGACCCCCAGCTTACCCAGGAGGCATCCGCTGCGGGAGGAGATGAGGGGGCCGCCGCTGGAGCCCCCATGCACGGCGCAGGGGGTCTGCAGC